TTATTGTTAAGTTTCGTTATTTGAATATTATAGGTGTGTAAACTCAGCAAAATATTCTAAAAGGATTTTTTTTTCTCAGAATGCCTTCAGGGCAGGTTTGGCTGGCTTGAGCTGTGGGGATCGAACCACAGCAACCTGAGCTTGACTGCTTTGTTGAAGCAGCCACTTAAAGAACTGAGCTAAAGGGGCAGCCCCCCCCCCCAGCAAAAATTATCTTACCGCCTTTAATCTTTCAGCATGGTATTCGGCTGCTGAAAAGTATTTTCCTGGTACTACAAGTTTGTCAGTCATGTTTGACACATACACACCAATTTTCGTCATTTGTGTGGATGTTGCATTTCTAGTTTGCTGGATCTTTTTTCTCTGAAAGACTGTCTAAAATAAAAACAAAAAATTAAATGTTTTCACTGTATGTAGTGTTCACTATATGCACACACGTGTGCACATACACATATATGGAAAGATAATTTTTGTACACATTCAAGTTAATTTTCTTTCCCCATATGTATTGTCATATAACTAGAAAATTTTATTTGAGAGTCATAAGATATACAACAAGTATTAATTCTATAGCTTTAAAAACCTGAATGGAAAAGTAAAAATACTGCCATATTACCTGTGTGTCTCTACAAAATAAATTAAACTTTTCAGGAATCTTTTTAGGTACAGTTTGTGTTCCAGCATTGTGATATTCTATTCCTGTTATTGTATGTCTAAATCCACCAAGGAATGGTTTGTGAAAGTCCGATTTCACAATTTCAACAGGTACCTCCTGGAACTGATCAGTGCCTAAGGAGAAAAAAACCAAGGCTGACTGGAAGTTCAGCTGCAAAGGGACTTGAAAATACTTTATCTAAAAGACATCAAATAACTCACCAGTTTGTACAAAGACAGTTATGAGTCGAGAGATGTTACTCAATTTAACTATTCTTTTTATTGGATACAGATCTGGATTTAGAGAAGAGATTTCCAGTTGTACACTTTCCTGTGGCTTAATTCCATGTTGTATGAGAGTCTCATTATTTTTGAGAATTTTACCTAAAAATGAAAATTTTAAGTATTATGGCAAAGAAATGGTTAAGTTTTTTTGCTGGTGTCTTTAATGGAGATATAAAATTCTACATACTTAAAATGCATAACATGATGTTTGGATTATGAACACATTGTGAAGGCTAAGCAAATGTAACACTTACTTCAAATATTTATTATTTTATGGTGAGAACACTGAAAATTTCCTCTCAGCAATTTTCAAACATGCGATATACTATTATTAACTATAGTCACTGTGATTCCAATACTCATTAGAAAGACATAACCAAGTAAACGCACTTTAATGTTATATAAATTACCAAGGATGTTTATAGGAATACATATCATTTAATTATTAAATAGATGACTGATATTTTCTGCCTCTGGCTTTAATGTTAGAACAGAAAACTCTGCAATAGAGTACTACACTGTCCTATTTATTTTATGAATAGCTACTAAAAACAAAACTCAAAGCTACAACTCTGAATTCTCTAGATATATAAACATAGAACCACCATGTTCTAAAATAAATGCATCCTGTAATGTGAGCAGGATTGCATTTTAAATGACCCTGTGGAAGACTACAATGTGTTATTTGTAAATATGGGACATATTAATATTAGGGAAAGTAGGATTATTCTACAACCCATTCTACCCTCTAGGGTTGACAAGCATAGACTCAAAATTCCACAAAATTCCTTCAGTTTTCTCTTTCCATAATCAGACATTTACGTAAGTTAATAAATGCCAAAGGAAAAGTTAAACTCAGTTTTATGTTGCAAAAAATAGTATGCCTCTTTATTGTTGTTGTTAAGATGCTTTAACTTCTCTTGCCTGTTCTTGGCTCCATTTTACCATATAGATGCATTCAAAAAATTAACTTTCTCTGTTTTAGGTCAAATGAAAGTGCAACAATGTTACTGGCTGTTGTTCTGTGTCATGGGAAGTTCACTGGTGGACTCTCCATCAGTCTTCAAAAGTGTGGCCTTCCTCTAGGGATGCAGCACTAGCCCCTGGAGGGACAGCAGCCCTGCTGATGCCTCGGAAACAGAGTTAGGGTTTCTGGCTCCAAAAACAGGGAAAACACATGTGTTGCTTTAGATAAGCCACTGCATTTGTGGTCATTGCAATAGTCGTAGGAAATCAATACAGGCTCCCAGAACCCTCCTTTCTTCTGCTTCCTTCTCACCAAAGGAGCTCCAGTTCCAGGCCTAGAAGAAGCCACCTATGGTGAACAGTGGCTGGTATAAAATCCAGCTCCTCTGTCACTGCAGTTGGCATCCCTTGTCACCCAGTGTTAATACCTGGTGCTTAGAAAGACAGAAGGTCATGAAGGACGTAGGACAGAGAACTCCCAAAGCACCACTGATCATCATTTCAAATTTCAGTTCAGACTCTGCCACTTATCTGTGTGATTTTAGAAGTATCCTGTTTAACTTTTCTTGTCTCAAAAAAGGATAAAATAGCGATATGTACCTCAAAAGATTCTTGTGTACATTAAATGACAATGTAGGCAAATAGTTACCAGAAGTACTGATGCATAGTAACGATTCAATAAACTCATCATCATGGTCATCATTGTTAATATAATATTTACTAATAATTATTGAAAATTTATCCTGTTTACTTAAACACTAATCAGTTATTTGAATTTTGTTTTTTATTTTTTGAGTCCTACATTCACTACAATGGATTTGTAAAATAATTTTTCAATTGAATTGTTTTTCTTTGAAAACTTAGTAAGTCAATACCAAAGCTCTCTCAGACCCAGTCCTAGCCCAGGTCCGATGAGTGTGTGGAGAGCTTCCTGCTACCCTGCACTGGCGGGACCAGTCCCAGCCCAGGCGCAACATGGGCCAGACCCTCTCTCACCCCCTCGGGCGGCCCCCCCCACTCCGCCTTACGTCCCCACCCCTCCCGCCAAGTAGGAATTTCTGCC